TTTTGTTTTAGGGCATATTGTAAGGCGTCTATAACTTTCGTTTTTCTTCTTATTTTTTCGCTTTTTACTTTATGTATTCTTCTTAATTTCATTACACTTCTCTCCATCGCTTTCTGGCATACTACTAGTTTACTTTTTATTTTATTGTTGTATGTCCACGTTTGGCATCCATATGTAAGAGTAGGCAAGATACAGGTGTCCAGGACAGTTTTCTTTAAATGGAGAGGAAATTTCCCTTTTAAAATTTCCTTTAGGGACCAAAATTTTTTCCAGCTCATGTTAATTCGTCGCTCTACCTCTAGTTCTTCGCTTTTGTCTTCGAATGACAGTTGTTTTCCTAGGTATATGTAGTTGTTTACATATTCAAGGGGCTTCCCGTTGAGGTTTATAGGGTTTATGTGGCTGTTTGTCAGTATTTTAGTTTTGTCTTCGTTCATTTTGAGGCCCTCCTTGGAGGCCGGTGAGAACTGTGTTCATGAGGCGTTGGAATGTAGAAGGGGCATTTTTTAGCCCAAAAGGCATGCGGCGGAACTCAAAGTGTCCTTGTGGAACGCTGAATGCAGTTTTGCATGCGTCGGCGGAATTCATTTTGATTTGATGGAACCCTGACGCAAGGTCAAGGGTTGAAAAATATTTGGATTTACCTAATTGGTCTAGGATCTCTGTGATGTTGGGAATGGGATATGTTTCGCCGATTGTAATATCATTTAATTTACGGTAATCGATTACGATGCGCCATTTCTTTTGGCCGGATGCGTCGAGTTTCTTGGGAACGATCCAGATTGGAGAAGACCAAGGAGAAAGTGATGGTTGGATAATGTTTTGATCTAGCATTTTATTTATTTGAGTTTGAACTTCTTGTTTATGGACTTCGGGAAATCTGTAAGATTTGACATTGATTGGTTGTTCGGAAGTAGTTCGAATTTGATGTTCAATAGCATCAGTTGAGCTTAGTTGGTCGTTAGGTAAATGGAAAATGTCGGAATACTTTGCGCATACGTCATATAGAGCTTCAGATTCTTCGGGGTTGAGATGATCGGTTCTAAGCAGGTTTAGTACTTGGTTGGTTCGAGACAGAGTGGTGTGGTGAGGTTGTCGGTTTGAGCTATATGCAGCAGAGATAGGAAGAGGTTGGATATTTAATTTGAGATTAGGATTCAGAGTTATGGGATTATTGGAGGTGTTGGCAACGGATATGTTAATCCTTTTGTTGCTTTTTACATTGACTATGCAGTTGGCAATCAATAGGGATTCAGAGATATGTTGATCTAGTATTAGACCCTCTTTGAGGTTTGTATTCGAAACAGTGCATTCTATAATGGTTTCAGTGCGAGGTGGAATGGTATACGTTGGTTCAGAGAATTTTAGTTTTAGAATGAACGATTGGATTTTGAGTGTGCCTAAATTGTAATCGATATTGCATTCGAGACTATTGAGGAGGTCGTTGCCTATGATGCCGTCATAAGGTAGATTGATTTTGTCGACGACATGGAATTGGTATGAGATTGTTTTCGTTGATACAGGGAATAGATTCAAATTGAAATGACCTAGTGTAAGTGTGGATTCTTCGGATTCATCGATACCTTTGAGGCTTATAATTTCAGGATTCAGTGTCGGTAGGGTTTGTATTGAGTTTCTTTTTACAAGGCTTACAGCAGAACCGGTGTCGACGAGGAACGTGAGAGGATTGTCAGCGAGGGAGGTTTTGAGTATAACATAAGGTAAGTATCTTTTGTCTGTATTTTTGTTTATTTTGTATATTTTAATGTTTTCTGTTTCTTTTTTCAGGTTTGGCAGAGGACGAGACCCGGAGACAACGGATGCATAGGATATAGAAGGATTGACGGATCTCGGAGCAGTGGACTTAATTGTTTTGGATGTAGTTGATTCAGTGGATGTGAAGGATACAGTGAGTTCAGTGGATTTAGTAGACTTGGCAGGCACAGTGGATTTGGTAGGTTGCGCTGNACTTTTTCACTTTCTTCATTTAAAGTGCATATCATTTTTTCTAATTCTTTACTTGTATCAGCGAATAGAACAATATCGTCCGCGAATCTGAGATGTGTAAGTCGATCTTGATTAACTCTAATACCTTCCGACTGCCAGTTGAGATTGTCAAAAATGTGTTGAAGTACCATTATAAACAGCTTGGGTGAAAGGGGGTCTCCTTGTCTCACTCCTCTGCAAATCGGTATATCAGGACCACGTGTCTCCAATTTGACTTGACTTACGCTTCCCTCGTAAATGCTTTTGAGTACTCTTGTATAATTTTCGTTTATGTGACATTTATTCAGCGCTTCCCAAATAGCGTCGTGAGAGATCGTGTCGAACGCTTTTGCGTAGTCTACGAAGGCAATGTATAGTGGCCTGTTGAACTCCTTATATTTTTCCATTACCTGTTGTAGTACTTGTATATGGTCCATTGTTGAAAATCCTGAGCGAAACCCTGCTTGTTCGACTGGCTGGTAGTTATCAATCTCCTGACTCAGATGGCTTTGTAGAATTGAGGTGAACAATTTATAAACACTTGAAAGAAGACTAATCGGGCGGTAATTAGAGATGTCTTGAGGGTCTCCTTTCTTGTATAAAAGGATTATATCAGATCTTTTCCATTGTTCTGGCACCTGACCTGTGTTCAAAACTTTATTGAATAAATATGTAAGTGGGCGAGTTAGCAGGGCAGCACCGACTTTTAATGCTTCATTCTGTATGCCATCTGGACCAGGGCTTTTATCTGTTTTGAGTCTTCTGATGTGGTCGATAACCTCCTTCTCATGAACCAGTGGCGAATCATTCGTGTCTTGAGAGCTTGTTCCTACTATATCGTTTGCAGTGGTGCAGGAAATTGATTTGGCATAAAGTTCCTTGTAAAAATCTGTGGCGCATTCCATGATTTCTCTTCTAGTTTTTGTTTCTTCTGATTTTGATTTTAAGTTTTGAATCCAATTTTTGTGTGTGATCAGTTTCTTATAGGCTTTTTTCGTGCTTCTGTAGGTATTAAGATTATTCTCGATTATTTTGTATCTGTATTCTTTGTAGTCTTTGTCTATTGCCTTACTGGTAGTCTTAAACAATATGCTTAGCTCTTCTTTCATTTCTTTAGTTTTTTGTTTCGTTTTCATAAGTTCAGATCGTCTTGTGAGGAGAGTTCTAGTGGACTCACTAAGTATTTTGTTCGTCGTTTTCAGTTCATTGTTCTTAAGTCTGCATGCAAGGCTGGTGTTGATGATGTTAGCTAGGTTATTGTAAAAAGTTTGGGCATCTTCTTCCTGATTTGTTTCCAGTTGATGTAGGTTGATCTTAAGGTTTTCTAAATATGTTGATATATCATCAGCTGTCCTTAGTGACTTAGGTTGTGGTTTGAATGATGTTCTCCTCTTTTTTTCTTGATCCAGCATGTACGTAGCTCTAACTACCCGATGGTCAGATCGGAATCCAAAGCCATGTAATACTTCTACATTTCTGATTCTCTTTGGGTGGTTTGTCAATATAAAATCAATTTCGTTTTTTATGTTGCCACAGGGGGAGAGCCAAGTCCATTTGCGGTTCTTTCGGGCTTTGAAAAAGGTGTTCATAATTGTCAGTTTGTGTTCCAATGCGTATTGAATTAGTTTCTCTCCTCTTTTATTTCTGTTGCCGTATCCAAATTTTCCCAGCACAAAGTTTTCACTATCTTCTTTTTCGTGTTGGCCAACTTTTGCATTAAAATCACCTATAACGAATACGTTATCACCTGCCTGGCTTTGAGCTGCCCGCAGAGTTTCATAAAATGAGTTAATTTCTTCAACTGTGGCCTTGTCAGTGGGCGCGTATACTTGTATTATTGCAAGCAGTTGGTTGTTGTAATTCATTTTTAATAGAGCTACCCGATCTGAGAACGCTGTAAAACTGACAATGTTATTTTTTTGTTCCTTTTTTATAAGAAATCCAATTCCATAAAGGCCGGGTGTTTCACCTTTGTAGCAGAATATATAATCTTCATGTTCTTCAATTGCATAGCCCTTTCTTCTGACTTCTGCCAAGCCGAGTATGTCGATTTTTATCTTTTGTAGCATATATGTTAGTTCTATAAATCTTTTTGTTGTTGCCAGTGATCTTACGTTGAATGTTCCAATCTTGAGAGTTTGTTTTGTTATTTCAGTTGTTTTTTTTTCTAATTTTTCTGGAGGGTTGTGGTCATTTTCCCCCACGGGGACCAGCCGGCTTGGGGGAGAGTTTTTCTTTTCTATGGTTTCTTTATTTGTTTAGTGTTGTTTTTGTTTCCGGTCCCCGGTNACTTTAGCTACATAATAATATTAATTCGTTAAAGCATTACCTTGCTTAGTTACTATACGAAGAAAATATGTAATTAGTAAACATAACGCCATGTAAAAATGAAATAGGCTTACATCATGCATCCTCTGACAAAAGTAATTTTATAGATAGATATATGTTACGGTCAATGTGATAAATGTGAAAATTATGAATAATCGCCGGTTATTATGAATAATTACCTCATGATTTGGTAAATGTGATTAATATGAGGTCATTTATGTGTGTATAAAACTAAATAGGCGGCTTAGGGGTGGCCCAAGGGCAACCCCCGCCGCACCTTAACCTATTTTTCACTTTAATTCAAAACATTATGTTATGGGCATCATGGAAAAGTAATATTATGCAAGAAACATTCCAAACTCATTATGCCAAATTATATTAATATATGATATCAAAACGTTCAAAACTTTTGGCTGTACAAGAGTACGTACACAAGATGTTGTTCTCTTTTATGATATTTGTTTCAATTATTAAATAATCACTGTTAAATGTTATTAATTCATCACATTAACCGTAACATATACACAGATAGATAGACCGAAGCCTCTGCTTCGGTCAATCTCAAGAAGTCATAATCGTGCTCCATGTGTTCGTGATGTATATTTTTATTTCCTTAATCTGAGATAAGTTAGGTATTTTAGGCTGAGTTGTACCATCTAATTTTAATAGTAATTATACTTCGTCGNGTGTTGTTTTTGTTTCCGGTCCCCGGTTTCTAATTGCTACTGTTTCGTTGTTGGTATTGTTGAAAGTGAGTTAGATCGGCCTCTCATCACGTCAAATGCATTTATTCTGTTATTTTTAGACGATTTTAGTGTTTGTTGTTTCCTTGGTTGTAATTCGACTTGTGGCGAGGTGGATTTATCTCTCTTTCTTTTTTCTATGGTCCTAGGATTTTCCTTTACAATAAGTTTATCATATTTAATGTACGCCAGGTTTCCTTTTTGCCTTTCTTCCGTTAGTTTGGATTGCAATGACTTCCTAATTTCTAAAGTTTTCTTTGAGTAATCTTCTGTTAAATATAACTCTTTTAGTTTCTTTTTGTTCCTCATTATTTCGGTTTTCTTCCAACCACTAACCAATGAAAGGAGCGTAGGCCTCGGTTTCTCATTTTTATTTCTTGAGCCAATGCGGTAGATTTTATTTATTTCATAATTTTCTATGGTTATGCCGAGTTCATCCAGAAAACACTTTTTAATGCATTTGATTAAATCCAAGGTCGTCTGTTCCTTTTCTGCTAATCCATGAATAATTATATTATTACTCTTCTTTTCTCTCTCTAGGAGTTCTACTTTATTTTCTAGATTTTCTACTTTTTCTTTCAATATTTGGTTTTCTTCTAAAATGGGTTTTAATTTTTCATCCATTTTATCAAGTATTGTGTTGGTTAGTTCAATCGTTTGATTTTGCATTTCTATTTTCATCTTGTCGAATAGAAGTTGAAATTGTTCTTCCATAGTTTAGCGTGTAATGGAACGTATTTGATTATTTTTAGTTGTTGGCAACACTGAAGTGACGCTGTCAAACGATGTAGTTTTGACAGGAATGTGTCAGTTGTCAAATGTGACAGTTTTCTAGGATTCGTTTGATTGTCTATGGATTTAATTAATTCTAACCTCAATGCTTTGCCAATGTTTTTATTCCAATCTTCTGTGCAGATCCAGCGGTTAATGCGATGTTTATTATCGAAGTCACTCAGTCGCACTTAGTTCTTGGTTTGAGTGTTATATTATTGAGAAAATTGTGGTTTTATACTGTATAGTGAAATTATTTCTACGGAGCACTGACACTGTGATGTTTACAATATGAGTACCGGAACCGGAAAATTTTTTTTAATGTTACTAAGCCCGTAAAACTTGTCTTAAATGACAACCACACCCTTTCAAAAATAATATACCTATTTGATTTTTTTGCTTGAGATAATATTTTATTACATTTTGTCATATTATATTACTGCGCCATAGGGCTAAATTTGCTTAGGTTGGCCACTGGTTAAACGCCATTGCACTGAATCCCATTGTTAGTGCACATATCTACATGCGGCTGCACTGACAGCATAAACATGACAGTAACATATGACGAATTTCAGCCATTCGCCATTCTCCTCCGGTTAACCTACGACCTTTAACTGTACCTGGAGCTCATTCCCAAAAATTAATATTTAGGCAGAAAATAAAGTCACCTCTGTACTTACTTAATCCAGAGATAAGTACAAAGTTTCAGCTTCCTTCGCTCCAAGCTCTTACGCTTAGATCAGATAGCTATGACCTTGGCCCGCTTACCGAATGAGGGCTCGCGAGCGGGGAGCGGGTTAAACAATGGATAAGTAGTGCAATTTTTTGCAAGCTTTGCATGATGTTTCTGGGAAATTTTAATTTGGAAGTGGACTAACGCTCGTATTCAGAAACGGTGCTTGCTTAAGTGAAGCAGCAAATCGAACGCACAGCGATGAATAGAGCTCTGTGATTGATTCGTATGTCACCCTGTGCGTCCACTCGCACTGTGAGACCTCATAGTAATGTTTGTTTATTTAACGCAGCCCCACATAGTAGGTAATAGGGACACTTCACTTTTCCAATTAATTTCTGCTATACCTACCTAATAAATTATGTGGATAAGTGGATAATGTAATAAAACACGTTGGCTGGTAATACCATGTACCTACTTACTTAATGTTACTAGAGCCTCTACAATGAATCGCTTAGCTTAACTAACACGCAAAAAGTATATTCCTTGTTTCACCAATCTATGTATAAACATATAAACGCGAAATACCACTCACCGATTAACCAGGAAATTTCAGAAACTATAACAAATGTAAAAGGCCAAGGGTGTAGACATCCGCTAAGAACGGATTTTACAAAACTCCATCCCTATGGGGGTAAAACGGGATCCACGCGTAGGTACGAAGTCGCGGGCTGCCGCTAAGTAGGTAGTAAGAAGTTAAAAGTAGTGTGATTTGCTCATGAACTGCGGTTGGTGAGAAATATACACATATCTACATGCCTACCTCTATCATTAACTACGATGAGTTTGAAAAACATCAGTGTGTAACAATATTGATAACAATCCAACGGTTAAATCGCATTATCGCACACGAATATTGCACGAAAGGATAGTGATTGCAGAACGGATTAACATGTTAAAGTTGCCGAGCATGTAGAATAATTGCAGAAATGTTTTACTGCCCGTTGAGATTGCCACTGGAAAATTAACAGGGGCATCACTGAAATTGCGGCGCAAACTGGATACGATGTTTTTATCGTGCAGTGTTTTTCACAAAACGTATTGGATGTGATCATTTGTGTAATATTCACGATTTCTTCGTGTGTTTTTGTAATATTTGTGTATTGTGTTTTTTCTTTATTTTAATGGTGGCGTATCGGTTATTGTCTCCAAAAATTGTTGTACATTGAAAAGGCTAGCATTTTCGTTACTTTCAATCAGTCAAACATAAAAGATTAGGCTTTAATCATTGTTGAGGACNTGAAAATTGTGGTTTTATACTGTATAGTGAAATTATTTCTACGGAGCACTGACACTGTGATGTTTACAATACGAGTACCGGAACCGGAACAGTGGTATATCAGAGGCTTTTTTACATATTCAAATGTTTTTGTTAAAGGAATATTTACAAAAACATACAATCGTTATCATTGGAACTCGTGGAATTTATGGCAAGAAAGCACCGGAAAATTCAGTCACACATTTCAATATACCAATATTTCACCCCTCGAAAACGGCCCTATTTCCTTACTAAATAAATAACCATTGGGTATGTCCTTAGTTTGCTTTTTCAATATGTAAATAGTGAGGGTCAGTTTATGTACACTTCATGCTACTGCATATATTAGTTAGGAGTTGGCAACTTCTAGAGAGGTTCTGGCAATGGATTTGATTGACTTCGTTTGGTATTTTATAAGGTTTTTAATTATATTTCAACCTTTTTGATCTTTTAATTGCGAGTGGAGGTCGTGTACCGAAAAACGCAGCGTGACGTCCACCTACAAGGTGGACCAACGACCTGATAAAGGTAGGTAGCAGGAAGGCGCTGGATCCAGGCCGCTACCAACCGGGCGATGTGGAAGTCATTGGGGGAGGCCTATGTTCAGCAGTGGACGTCCTGTGGCTGAAATGATGATGATGATGAATTGCGCTGGAGAGATGGTAGAGTCATGTAGATTTTATAATATTGATAATTATATTCCAGGCCAGCGCAAGATCAGTTGTTGTGGAAATTCTTGGGGAGGCCTGTGTCCAGCAGTGGACTTTTTATGTTGGATTTAGGTACCTCAACAAAATAACTTGAGTAATAAAATACAAAATTACTACCTAAGCCTAGTTTTTTTTTTTTGGGACGCGCGCTGGTAGCTTGAGGAGCTTTTCCAGCTTCACCGGGCAGAGTGGCGAGTACAGAAGGTACTCTAGCCGTTCGGCGATCGTCGGTGCGCGTCCCGACGAGGCGGAGTGTGGGCTTCGAAGCCCAGGCTCGTCCGCGTCGGTCGCAAACCGACGTCCGCGATCGGGCCGTATCGAGCGCATAAGGCGCCCGATCAGTGGTGATCCCAACTAGAGGGTTGCCCACCGCGGTGTTGGACCAAAGTCCAGCCTACGGCGGGCTCTAGGCGCAGACCACCGACTTTTATTTGGCCAATAGTTGACTCGGGCTGTTAATCAGTACGGAAATGTAGGAAAGTGCGCACATTGGGTCGGCCGATTCTTCATACAAATTAGAATCGGGCCCAACTATCGGCCGACTAAAAGTCTGAAGTCTGCGCCTAGGCTTACAAATGATTGAATTAGTAGGCACTAGTATGTAGATTTAATTTCGTTTCACATTCCATTTAGAGGGTCCATAGTTTTGAGTCCCTTTGGAGCCAACAACGTATTAAGCCGCGACGTAATTTGATAAAATGTTTGATATTCCTCGCCCATATTTGATTCCCTCCGCGGTTGTAATTAATTATGTTAATGTGTTTTACTTGGGAGGCCGGAGGGTGTGAGATTCAGAAATAAGGATTTCCTTGCCACCCTTAAAGGGTTAGGTTAATGTATCTGTTACAGGCAAAACTCTTAGGCTGAGTTGCACCACCTAATTTTGACCGTAACTTTAACGATAACCGGTGCTTTTTGTATAGAGTTTGACAGATTTTTGACGTTTCTCAAAGTTAAATTAAGATGGTGCAACACAGCTTTAATCGGTCAAAACAACTTTTTATGAACGATTATGAGTTTTGACTGTAACATATCAATGTACGAGTATACATATTCTATGTATAATGAGAATGTTACTTCTGATAGTCCAGTACACATGTGTGAAAAAGTGTAGAAATTAATGTGACTCAAACTGCACAGTAGGTAAGGCATCGCTGAGAGCACAGTAAAGCATTGCTGAGACACAGTAAGGCATTGCTTAAAGTACGGTACGTGCTCGCCTATCTATGTATATTTTTGCAGCATCAGTAATCGAAAATGATGAACCCTTAAGCTTTTCTAAATTCCGTACAAGTAGTGAGTAACTACATTCATGGATTCAAAACTTTCGGTAGCCAATTTGAATACGAAAAAGATGCTGCCAAAAGTCAAAGTTTAGTATGAATAAGAAGTAACTGTTTAACATTCGTAGTAAGTATATCTTAGCAAATCAACAGCCTCTGAAGAAAAATGAAGTTTATTTAAAATGACTAAGAGAACGCATCAAAAAGTCGTCTAAACTATCAAATATTTGCATAGCTGTGTATGTGTAACAAATATCTTGCAAATGCGAACTGAAGCTATCGGTAGAAATATAGAATTAAAAATTATGTAAGTATAGGTACGCTTGCATGATTTCCGTAATGGTATCCATGATCGGCCTCTATTTTCCGAGTAGTTGGCAAGTTTTGAGAGCAGTTGAGGGTTTTATCAGTTGATTAAGTTCTCGTGTATTTGCCACCGCATTTGCGGGTTAACTTTGACATCGTACACGTCAAAGTTAACCGTAAAGATCCGCTTTGAGAATATAATCCATCAAGATTATCAACAGTCTGCGAACTTTGCACGTACGAGAGGAAGTTGGGGAAATACTGCATTACCATTTCCGTATGTTTTTGGGTGAGATGAGCGATGTATCGGGAATTCCGATACAGTTAATGTTTTCGTACGCGAGAGAAAAGTTACATTATTTATGACTGTTGAGACTATTTATATGTTTTGTTTTAGAACGTGGAAAAAGCTAGTGAACGTTATTTTGATGTGGTATGTGGTTTTTGTTTAGTCCACGGGTTCCCAAGGCGTGCGCTGCAGAAAGAAATCGAGAGAGAAAGTTGCAAGTTTTATTATGATTATTTATTTCCATTCACTGAACTATTATTTCAAACATATTTTGAGGGCGCTTTGAAAATACTATATTTTACCTATACCTATAAGAAGTCATGATAGCTTGACGCCTATTTGACGGCGAGGCAAAAGGCGATACGGTGACGATCCCTTTCCGAATTAATTATGACCCTTATTATTACGTTAACACCAACAATAACCGGCACATATTCTTGCAACTAAATATCTTTGTCTCACTCTGCTTCCCTGGGAACGAGGACGGGATTTAGATTGGGACGCTATATTATGTGTCGATACTTAAGCCCCTTCCCACCTTAGGGAATCAATTGTTAAAGCTGGGGCTGCAGCGGAGTCGGCTGAATTAGCCAAACGGCGCATATATGAGTCACTTGCTAATTACATATTTGCGCCTTTTGGTGTCGAGACCTTTGGACCCTGGGGACCGAATGTAAAATTACTGTTTCGGACCATTTCCCCTTTTATAAACATGTC